CATGGTTTTTTTCTTTCTTTTTGTTCTTTTCTTTTTTGACCAAAACCAACTTACCTTTTTATTTCCCCCTTTAATTTCAATCTCACATTGCCGGACATGAATCTCATTCCTCTGACCAGGGGTTGGTGGGGTCATAGGAACGTAGGGACAAGGGTCATAGGACCATAGGCACAGGGTAGAGAAGTCACTGGCCGTGGGGTCTGACCCATCCCCCAGGACTAAAAGCCCCCAGTCACACCCTGAGGGTATGTGGTAACCTCCGAGACAGTCTCAGTGGGTGGTTTTGACCCACCAGGCCAGCTCTTCCCCTTCAGACTGTAAGCAGGGACATCCCAGGAAAAGGGCACACTCACTTACCTGCTGTGTGTCCTTGGGTACTTAACCTCTCTGAGCCTCAGTTTCCTTATCTGTAAAAGTAGTAGTAGTAATAATAATAATAATAACCACCTAATAGCCAGAGGAGAATTGATGAAATGATGCATATAAAGCACAGTCCTAGCACAGGGAATGTTCAATAAATATCAGCTATACTATTATTGTTACTGCCCAGTCCCTTCCCTTACCCTCTGCTCTCCTCTGTGACAGCTGTTTAGAGGAAGCAAGAGAATTAGACCTGTAAGAGGCTCAGTGAGAATTCCGTGTCTGTCCTTGACTCACGGTCCTCACTGTCTTCATTCTGAGCACCTTGACGACACCCACTCTGGGCCTGGCCCCGTGCTCGGCTCTTGAGCAGCAGTCCTGGCCAGGACTGAGTCCACACTCCCAGAACACTCGGGGCTATGCAATAGCGAGTTCTTTCTAAACCCCTACTGAGGAAGTTCTCAAGGCGCACAGGTCTCCTTCATTCCAGAACCACCCCCACCTCCAGACAGGATTCTTAGACCCACTTGGCCATCCAGGAACAGCAGCACAGAATTGAACTGTGGTTAATAAAAAAAACCCTGTCTCATCTTCTGTTTAGATTAAGTTAATAGAAACTGGGTTATTGCAGCTGACACAGCTGGAGTTAAAGAGGAAATCCCTGGACACAGAGGCACTACAGGTATGTAGGGCTCCCTGGCCTGCTCTGTCCCCTGACCCCAGCCCCCAACTGGTGAAAACCCCCCACCGGTTTCCCCACTGCCTCTTGGCTGCTCTCCGTAGTCGAGGCAGTGATGCTGGAGGATGCCCTGGCCCTAGAAGGCTCAGCCTGGGGGCTGAGCCCAGTGCAGGCCAAGGTTAGGGGTTGGGTCAGCCTGTTGCTAGGCAGGAGGGTCAGAGGAAGGACGGTTTCATTGCCAAGGCTCACCTAGGCTGCATCTCCATCGCCGCGTTTTCTTTGTTTTGGAGCTGGGTCGCTGCTGAGCTCCCTGTCTCTTTAAGCCATGCTTCTGGGGTGCTGGTTCTCATGGGCTGACATCCTCTGGTGTCTCAAGGATGTCTGGAGGGAGAGGGCCCAGCTTTGATTGTCACTCCCTGCAGGCAGCTTCTCTGTGAGCTCCGGCCTGGTATCCTGCTCACAGAGCCATGGGGGCAGCAGGGACTGGCAGATAGTGCTCTGGGCTGCAAATCTGGGACCCGGGTTGTCCCCACACAGTCTTTCTGTGTGGCCTGGGTGGGTAGGGGAGAAGGGGCAGCCCTTTCCCGTCTCTGTACCTCATCTCCCCAGTTGTGCACAAAGGGGCTGGATCAGAGGTGTGTGAGGGCTTGTGGCCTGTACCAGGCTTTTAGCAGAGCCTTCTGTCTGTCATTGTCCCTGTGTCTGTCCTCAGTGAAGGCATCTTTATTGTCTTAAGAGCTTCTCAATGCAGGAAAGGGAATGCTGGGGTCTGGAGTCCTGGTCACAGGTCTGCCACTGTGTGACCCTAGACAGGTCACTTCCCCTCCCCAGGCCTCCGTGTCCCCACCACATAAACTGGAAATAGTCTTCCAGGCTTGGCCTGTGTCAGGACCATCAGAGGGGAGTGAGCCAGCAGGTGGAAAGTCCCCAGCGATGGGGGGTTGGGGTAGCTCTCAGAGAAGAGGGAGCCACTGTGCTTGGCGCGTGCCCATGTCTCCTGCCTGGTAGAGTTTGTGGGGCTCTCATTTTCAAGGTCTTCACGAGGTTTCCAAGAGGAAGAGTGGAACATGGATACAAACCAGGGCTCTCTCCAGTTTGTGCATCCCTCCATCTGTGTAGAGCCTTCCCAAATGTGTGGGTCACGCACCGACTTCCCACCTTTTGCTTCTGCCCACGTGCTCTGTAGTCAGGGAAAACGAGGTCAGATCCCTGCGGCTTGTCATTTCCTTTGTTTGATGTTTCTCACCGCTGCACTGTCATCATCCACTAGATCGCAGGCCTGGCCTTACCCTGTGGGGAAAGGAAGGACAGACTTGGGAGAGGGTAGGGAGGGGAAGCCTGGGCCAAGGGGCCCCTCCACTCTGTCCCCCAACTCTCAGCCTGAGATCAGTGGCAGAGCCTTGAATGGAGTGTGGGCCCTGGGCTGCCAGCTGAGAACCCAGTGAGGGGGGATCCATCCACCACACGGCGGGGACTTCTGGCCCTGGGCGCCATGTGCTCCCAGCACCAGGTGTGGTCTTGTGTTGCAGGAGATGATCTCCGAGCAGCGCTGGGCCCTCAGCTCCCTGCTCCAGCAGCTTCTCAAAGAGAAGACACAGCGAGAGGAAGAGCTCCGGGAGATCCTGGTGCGTTTGGCTTCCACGTCAGGCTTCACACAGGGGTTTGCTTTCCCTAAATGCTCTTGCCGTTCTTTGAAACGCTTTCATTATTCTAGTAATTGTTCATCAGAGAAAAAATGGAAAGTACAAAGGACAAGAATCTCACTTCCGAGAGGTTGTTTATTGCCAATATTTTGATGTATGTTTTCCAGACATTGCGACGCATGTTTACCGCTCTGTGTGTATGTGCCTGTAACTCAGAGCTGCACACCCTTCCCCCAGTCCCGCTGGCACCTGCCCTTTCCTGTCTCTCATGTCCTCTGTGCTCCTTCGGTGGCTGTGTCCAGATGGGCCCTCCTTTGGCCGGTTGACGAGCTACTCGTTTCTTACTTTTGTAAGCAAGGCTCTGTCTCTGCAGCTGAGGATTTGAGCACAGCCATGAGTATTTACGCAGACAGATGCCCAGGAGAGGACTTGCTGTGTCCAGGGCAGACCATTTAATAAGCCTTTGGCAGAAGTTGCCAGACTGTCCTCAGGACCCAAATGGGTTTGACCCGGCACTTTATCAGGGAGCCAGAGCCCCTTTTGGGGTGGCAGGTCAGGGTCACTTCCTCCAGAGCCCAAGTGCACCTGAGTGGTGAAGGCCCACTGTCTTCCCATGTTACTGCCCCGGATGTCCTCTGAGCTCCGCCGTAGGCCGGCCCTGTGCCGGGTATGGAGAGGAGTGAGACCCGTTTCTTCCCGTGCCCCCACGAGCCCAGATGGTGTGTTTGTGCCAGTTGGAAGCTGCCTGTTCCCCTTGATGCCTCCCTGCTGTCGCCTGTAAATTGTGTTAACATGTGACCCACACCCTGAGTGCTGTGCAGGGGCGGCCACACTGTGGCGCTGTGCCCTCGCCCTCAAGGGGCCACGGGACTCACTGTGGAGGAAGGAAGCACTGCCTCAGCGGGACGTGACTGCCAGGGTCAATAGGCTCCAGGAGAGAGATGTGTCCATAGCCCAGGGAGGGCCAGGCCAGAAAAGAGGAGCCAGCTCAGCAGGGTCCAAGAGGGACTACCAAGGGGGTGGGGAGATGCCTGTGTTAAAATCTGCCCACATCACGCCTGGTCCCAGAGCACAGCTGCAGTCCTGAGTGGTGGCTTGTTGGTTCAGAGCACAGGCTCCAAGCGCGGCCGGCCTGGGTCTGAATCCTGGCCCTGACGCAGGGCAGCTCTTTGCACTTGGGCCAGCTGCTGATCACTCTGTTCTAATCACACAGTTTCTTCACTGTGCAGTAGAAAGCCCTTCACAGAACTGTGAGAACTAAGTAAGCCGGCATCTCCCAGTGCTCGGCCCGGTCTGGCACCAGGTGCCCTGGAATCACTGGCCGCTGCTGCTGTTAGTGTCATTTGTTCATTGCTCTGTCCCCAGCTCCCAGCACCCAGGATGGGGCCAGGCCCAGAGCAGCACCCAGGGAGTATTTCTTGAAGGACAGGGTGGTTTGAGGAGGATGTTTATAATTCTCCAGCTTTGTCAGATCGGTGAAGCCCACCCCAGAAGCCAAAGTGTCCTTAGAATCCTATTTCTTTCCCCGCCCGGCACCCAAAGGACAAGCCTGAGCCTCCTAGGAGAAGACGGCTGCCTCATGCTTTGCTGTTCCCGCAAGCAGATGGGAAGGTGTCCCCCTCAGAGTCACGGTGCACAGGGCGGGGCGCCAGGTGTCAGCAGCCCCTGTTGGTCCCCCGACTGGGTGTGCTGTGTCTGAGGTCGTTCTCAGCAGTGGAGTGGGTAGTGAGGCTCCCTGCCTTTCCCGGTGAGACAGCGGAGGGTAGGAAAGGTCTCCGCAGAACACCAAGCGCCGCCCACGTGCTCAGAGGAGCAGAGTTCACAGTGGTCACTGTCATTACCGCTTTTATTTACTGATTTGTAACTAACAGTGTCTGCTCCCTTCTTGGCAGACAGAGTTAGAAGCCAAAAGCGAAACCAAGCAGGAGAATTACTGGCTGATTCAGTATCAACGGCTCTTGAACCAGAAACCTTTATCCCTGAAGCTGCAGGTGAGGACTGGTGGCGCCCACCCTGCCAGGGGAGCCTTGCGCCACAGCCATGCCCTGCTTCCTGATCCTTCCAGTTTAATTCCATTCATATTTCTGGTGACTAGTCTACCAGGTCCTGTGCTAGGCTCTGGCAGGGCAGAGATGAAGGGGGAGCGTTCATTCTGCTGGGGGGAAGACAGCTCTGGGCACATCGGGGGAGCAGAGACCAGGACCACACATGTGGTCCCCCCTCCACCGCCCCGACACACGAAGCTTTTTTTTTTTTTAATTAAAAATGGAGTCTTTCTACACATGCTATTTTGGCAACTTCCTTTTTCCTCTTAATGCTAGTGACGGGCTACTCTCCAGGCCTGTGCATGTGGATCTCCTTGCTGTTTCCAGACAGACGCAGAGTGTCTAGGATCTGGATGAACCGTCATTTGTTTAAACAGTCCCCTCTTTTTTTTTAATTGAAGTATAATCAGTTACAATGTGTCATTCCTGGTGTTCAGCATGATGTCCCAGACATGCATAGATGCACACATACTCATTTCCATTTTCTTTCACAGTCCCCTCCTAAGGACCACTCAAGTTGCTTGCCATTGTCAAGTTCACGGAGTGGTAGTGAATGTCCTTGTGCATCTGTCTCTGTGCACTTACATACCCATCTTTGTAGGAAAGGTTCCAAGCAGTTTACATATTATGTTACATATACTTAAACCCTTTGTTTGCGGTTGTAAACAATTGTTCTTGGTTTTCTCTTGTCTGTGGTGCTTTTCCTGTGTCTGTCTTGCAGGAAGAAGGCCTGGAGCGCCAGCTGGTGGCCCTCCTGGTGGAGCTGTCGGCTGAGCACTACCTGCCTGTCTTCGCTCATCACCGCATCTCACTGGACATGCTGAGCCAGATGGGCCCCGGGGACCTGGCCAAGGTGGGCAGCGGCAGCCCCTCGGGAGAGGTTAGGGAGGTGGGCAGGGCCCTGGCCTGACCCAGCCAAGGGGCAACTTGCTGTCATACAGTTCTTGGTGAGGCCAACCATCATCAAATGTCCTGGGGCCATCTTGCTTCCAGAAGGCCCAGAACATCTGCCCTAATCACTTGGCTAAGAAAAGCCCAGGGCTGTGGGTCCTACTGACCCCAACTACCCTCTCGCCACTCCACCTGACCTGCTTCAGATTGGATCTTCACATCGTAGGGCCAGACAAGTCCTTGGAGGTCATCTGGTCCAGCCCCCTCCCCACCCCATGGATTTGCAGTTATCATGACGGCAGCACTGCCTGAGCCTGGTACATTCTGGCTACACTGCATGAAATTACTTACTCTTCAGGAGAGGCAAAGGATTCTGGTGACAGCTTTGTAGGACTTGCCAGCACCAGGCACTGCTCTAAGCACGTTGCACACACGAGCTCACTGACTCCTCCCAACAACCTGGGCCGGAAGGTGCTCATTGTCATCATCTTTCAGATGAGGAAACTTAGACACAGCAAGGTCGCAGTTTGCCTGAGGTCACACAGCAGAGCCAGGACTCCAGCCTGGGCAGCTGGTCTGATGCCCAGGTCCACGCTGCTGACCACCGTGCTGGACCGCCTGGCCCCTGACAGACGCAGAAACGGGCTCTGAAGGGCTTCACGGGCCGTGTCGCCCAAGCTCAGGAGCGCGCTCTGGAGGCTGAGGGGCCATGTGGGTCTGGCACAGTCACTTCTCAGCAGCTCAGCCTCGGTGTGAGCCACCTGACCATGTGAACTGTGACAGGGCCCTGACCTCCCGGTCGTCATGGGGGGTGACGGGAGGTCACGCGGGTGAAGCTGTCAGCACAGCCCCTGCATGAGCAACGCACTTGCTAAACCGGAGCTGTTACCAGAGTTGTTTCCTTCTGGGCCCGGTGTCTCCCTCTGCCGCACTGATTGTTGGGCCCCGGTCAGCCTCTCCGTTTCCAGTCAGCGGTGCCAGAAGCCAGGGGTGAGGCAGTCCTGTTGGCTCTGCTGCACGGCGGGCTCCAGCCTGGCTGTGACCTGCTCTTCTTCGGTCTGTCCCAGGTGGGCATCTCGGAGGCTGGCCTGCAGCACCAGATCCTGCGCAGAGTCCAGGAGCTGCTGGATGCGGCCAGGACCCAGCCAGGTACCGATGCCAGGGCCTCTCCTAAGCAGAGCCCTTACGTGTGGACTGTGGTGGGGGTGGCCACCTGTTTACAATCCAGGACGAGTCCTGAGGGCCTTCTAACCCTTACCAGTGCTTAAGTTTCCCTCCTGAAAGAACAGAAGTTATAAATGGGAAAAACAGGTCACAAAAATGGAAAAAGAGAGCTTTCCCTTTCAGCAGTGGAGGGGCCTTCCTGGCTTCCCTAAGCCCACCCTGCAGACCAGGATGCCTGGTGTAGAAGGAGAAACCGGCCGGGCCCAGTGCCCACCCTGTGCCCAGCACTGGGCCCCGGGCAGGCCTGTGGTTTAGACGTAGAAGGATGCCTGTAATGGTTGTGAAGGGGTAACAGCAGGTCAGGGAGGCACTCCGCCCCCGTCCGGAGGCCCTGGATTGGGGAGGTGCTGTGGCTGACGTGGGCCAGGCACATCTGGGTGCCAGGCATTTAACGAGCACCGTGTTTGGTCACCTTTGCTTCAACTCCATGCAGTGGGCACTGTTGTTACCCTCATTTGAGGGATGAGGAAACTGAGGCAGAGAGAGGTTAACCCTTGCCCTGACCCTTAGGGCTCTTCCTGATTGTGGCCGCCCTGCCAGGAGGCTGTGGTAGGACAGCTCCTTGGCTCCAGAAGGTGTCTTCCTGACAGTTTTCTTTTTGTTTCCAGAACTCAATATGTGTTATATTAAATATAGAAAAGCACCCCTTATAGTTGGTGGGGGCACCATGATACCCTTAGAGGGTCTAGGGTAATCGTGACAGGCTTTAAAAAAAATCCAGGTTTTTTCCAATTATAAAAAATGCTACTTATAATTCAAACTAGAATAAATGAAAAACATGAAGTGTGAATGAATGGGGATTGGGATGAAGAGAGACTCAGGGATGTTGCTGTTTCCCATTGCCTGACGATGAGAGAGACCGATTCTGATGTCCCACTTCATGGCGTTTGGGACCCAGGCAGGGGATGCTGGCTCCAGGCAGACAGTGGACATGCTGGAGGCTCTGCCAGGGGGGCAGGGGGAGCAGCCTTGAGTGTCTCATTTCTCTCCCAGCTCCTCTGGGTCACCTGAGCCTGGGCCACTGGGTGGAGAATCTGCAAGCGAGGTCCAGCCCACCTCAAGCCCCTAACTCAGGGCTTCTGCATGGTGGCTCCACCACCAGATGGCCCTGTGGCCTTGGACAAGTGGCTTCCCCTCTCTGAGCCCTGCTTGCAGGGTGGCCATGAAGGATTCAGGGCGTGTTAGGGATCAGAGGCCCCAGTTAACCCCTGCTGTAGCCGTCCCTGCCAGTGCCACAGCACTTCCATTTTATAGATGGGGAACAAGGCTCAGCAGAGGGAAATAAGAGGGTGTGAGGGATCTGAGAGTAGATCGCCACCCCGCCTTCCAGCTCACCGTCCATTTAGGGCAGGCAGGGCCAGGGGAGCCACTAGGGAGTGGGGTCGGTGGGGCTTGACCCTGGCTCAGCCTATCTCCCTGTCCCCACAGAGCTGCTGAAACCACCCAAGGGTGAAGTCCTTGGGGCCCCTGAGCCCCCCTCTGCCCCTGAGGAGCTTCCTGAGTTAGTGAGACCATCAGCTCCCCCTGCAGAGCTGGAGGTGCAGACCTCGGAATGTGTTGTGTGCCTGGAACGGGAGGTAAGTCTGGGCAATGGGCCCAACCCGTGATCTCAACCCCACCCCCCCCAGCCCCCATGCCTGCAGCCGTCCTGAGCGTCTCAGGCACGTGTATTCTTTCTAAACTCTCTTCTAGCAGTAGAAGTATATTGCATTCATTAGAAATTTTGGAAAATACAAGAAAGCAAAAAATACAGGAAATTAGAATGACCCGTGATCCCATGACCCAAACATGAGCGATGCTAACATTTTCTGGGCCTTTTTTCCAAAAGAGGGTTTTTTTTTCTTCCACTTAAACACGAAGGGAAATTTCCCAAGTCATTAAATATCAACAATACAATTTTTCTCTGAAGATACTTTTTAAAAAACCGTATTTTTAAAACTGTAACAAACTTAATGCCTGTTTTAAAAATTAAACAATGTAGTAGGTAAAGTAAAAATCCAGCCCTCCCTCCACCATGCGATCCTATTTGGAAAAGGCGGCCACATCAGCAGTTCGATTACCCTGTGGTCTTTACCAGGCCCAGGGCATGCCATGATACAGAGGCACTCGGTGGTTATAAATTTAACCAAACCCCTGCTTTGGGTCCCATAGGTGGCTTCCAATTTCTTGTTATTACAAACAGTGCTGTTCTGAACAGCTTTGAACAGAGCTTGGAGCACATCCTTGGTTATTTCCTTGGGACAACTTTCTAAAAGGAGGAAACATTAAAGCAAAGCACAGGCACGCTTCCATGGCTTTGATCTATAATGCTGGAGTCATTTTGAGACCAAGGGGCCAGGCAAAGTGCATAAAAAACCAGAAATCAGGGACCATCTGCACATCCAACAGCAGGGCTAGTGACATGGCCGTGGCCCCTCCTGCACGGCTGTACACAGAGACGGGCAGGAGGGTGTCCGGGCAGGGCAGGCGCCTGCATGTCTGTGAGGTTTGAATGGAGTGTGATGACCGTGCAATCAGATTTTAAAGGTGAAGAACAGCAAGGGGGCTGGGGGCCTTGGTTGCCCCACCCCTGGGGCACCGGGCAGGGGCAGGGCCTGGACGCCCCCACTCTCTCTCCCAAGGCCCAGATGATCTTCCTCAACTGCGGCCACGTCTGCTGCTGCCAGCAGTGCTGCCAGCCGCTGCGTACCTGCCCGCTGTGCCGCCAGGACATCGCCCAGCGTCTCCGCATCTACCACAGCGGCTGAGCGCCGGCCGGCCACCCGCCCACCCGGGCCCGGCGCCCCCAGCCCCACCCCTGCACCTGCAGGCCCAGGGCTCCAGCTCACCCCAGTTCTCGACAGACTAGTATGCCCCCCCACCCCCTGTCCTGGGCCTTGTCCCCACAGCCTGGGAGGGTGCCCGACCCTTGATCTCCAAGCACGCCCAAGCCAGATGGGGATAGGAATGCTCCTGACCAGTGACACAGCGGGTCTGAATACTGTGGGGGAGAGGGGACCCCTCGTTGCACAAGGACTGGGCCTGAGGTATAGGGAGGCGGCTATGCCCCAGCCTGTGAGGCTCTGCCACTCCCTGTGGCAGTAACAGCCCCTCCGGGAGCCTCGGTGTCCTCATCAGGGCAGCACGGACAGTGCCATCCCACTCGCCGGGGTGGCAGGAGTGCAGGAGGGCCCTGGCCAAGGGGAAGGGAGACCACCCTGGCCTGTCCTCAGATTGGCCAGAGTGTTTGGTGCAGGCCTTGGGCCACAAGCGACGTCGTCCCCTCCTCGGCTCCCCTTCTCCTGCTCCCCAGCGCTCTGGGCCCCCCTGCTCTGCAGATCTGCACTCCTCACCCCACGCAGCTCACAGGCAGGCACTGAGCTTTGCAGACCCTAAGTGGGAATGTCAATAAACCCACCTCCAGCCTGCGCCTCCCGAGTTGTCACTGGGTCCTGATGGAGCCCGGGGAGGGGGAGGGCCGAGGGTGGAGGGAGAGGACCTCACCTCAGTCAGAAGGGAAGGATTCCGGAACAGAACGTGAAGTTATCCAAACCTCCCTCCTTGCAGGTGGAGAGACCGGGGCTGGAAGAGAAGAAGGGCTCGGAGGGTCCAGGGAGCAGGTTGTGCTGCGTGACCTGCGCCATGTGCTGGTCACTATCCCAGACCAGGGGGCTTGAAGGCCTGGGCCCTGCACTTGGGACGTGGTGGTGCTGGCTTTAGAACCCAGAAGCACCTGGGCTCCCGAACCCGCGCAGCTGTGCAGGTTGCCCATCGCACAGTTCCAGAAGGAGCCATGCTCCTTGTACTTGCTGTAGAGCTGCGCCTTTATTCATTTTTTGGCAGATAGGTTTGAGCCGAGGGCAGCTTTTTCTTTGGGCCGGAGGCAGGCCTACTCAGGGCACCTGGGCCCTGCCTCCAGCTAACTCTGACTCTGGCCAGCCTCCCAGGCTGTTTCCCCATCTGTTTGGTAAGGGGCATGATGGGGCCCTGACATAGGCCGGCGGCCACCAGGGGGCACTGAGTGCTCACGCCAGGTGCAGCGCGAGAGCCGGCAGGTGACAGGACCCAGGTGGCAGAAAAAGCCTTGATTCCCCTGCCTCGTTGGGACTGTCAGTCCTGTGAACTGGAACAGGACGGAGTGAAGTCCCCTAGTGGTGTGAGCCCTGCTTTCCAGGTACCCTGGGGGGCCTCTGTTGCTTCCTCTCCCCCACAACGTCCTAGACTCCTCTTGGCTAAAATGGGAGGCAGGCCTGAGGTGGGCAGGGCCGCTGTGCAGAGCACAGTGTTGGGTGGGCCTCCTTGAATCCTTCTAGGTCCCTCCCTTTATAGATGAGGAGCCTGAGGCTGAGTTCAGTGACTTGCCAGGGTGGCGGCAGGACTGCAGCTGGTCTCCAGCCCCACTGCCCCTGTTGATAAGCCTTCAGCTGCTGACCACCGGCTGTCCCCAGGGTGTCTGGCTGCCATCCCACCGAGCACGGCATGTTTTTCACCCATGGATAGAGCAGCCCATCCCCATCAGCTGGTGGATGTGTGTGTAGGGGGTGTCCCTGCACCCAGAACCTCAGCCCAGGCTCCCCACCTTCCTGGCCCTCAGTTTACACATCAGTGAAATGCGGTGATGCGGGTACCCACCACCTGGAGCTGCCGTGAGGCTCCTAGTCCTGCACATAACATGCACGGCCCACAGGTAAGTGCTCAGAAATGCTAGCTGTGTGACTAGGAGTCTTGGAAACACTGGCATCACTGTTTAGAGCCAGCCTGAGCTCCAGGCCCACCCCGCTGTGGGTGCCCCAGGGCCACAGAGCCATAAAGCTGCTGACGTCCCTCCTGCCACACTGTTGCCCGAGGACCATGCTGCACCGACCTGAAGCCGCCTGAGCTGCCCTCAGGCCAGTAACCTATGCGCTCCTGCGTCCCTTCTCTCTGAGCCTCAGTTTTCACTTCTGTAAAATGAGATCATAGAACTCTGATCACACACCTCGAGGCAACTAGCCCCAAAAGTCAAGGTGCACAGGTGCTCCTAGACCATCTCCAGTCCAGGTCTCCCCCTGCCGGCACCACACGTGGGCCACTGGCTTTAAATAAAGCATTTATTGATTAGTAGAAGCTGAAAACAGTTTGCATAATATTTCCAATACAATATCTGGGAAGAATTGGAAAACCCCAAAAGAAGGCACTAGAGGAGAGCATCTTAAGACGGGGTGTGTTGTGGAAGAGATTAGTGAGGCGTTGAGATAAGGGCTGGGGGGCCTGGGAGGGTCCCTGAGCACCAGCCAGCACTGCATGTCCTGTGGGTCCAAGGCCCCAGCCCCGGGAAGCGGATCAAGGGGACGGAGGATGCAGGGCTGGGGGGAGGAGGTTGGTTTCTGCCCTGCCTGACCGCCCCTCAAAGCAGCAGGGGAGGGGGTCGGGGGAGGCCAGGAGGTCCCAGCCCCTGGAGATGGCATTGGTTTGACCCTCACCTTCAGGAACAAGAAGCTGAGGAAGGAGGATGGCTGAGCCCCAGGTAACTCACAAGGACACCTGAAAAGTCCAGGGGTCTCCAGGGTGTGGCACCTTGGGACTCAGAGGCAGCAGAGGCCCAGTCCAAGCCTGACCCCAAATGCTCAGTGGTACCCGGGGGTGCCACGGCCCCTCCCTCTGCCCCTCCCGAGCCCCACCAGCTCCCCCGAGGACAGTGCGTACCTTGGAAGCAGCCTGCAGGAGACCATCCACATCCACCAAGTCCTGCCACCCTCCCCTCAGCCCAGCGTGTGGGGACAGAGGGTCACCTGGAGACTGGACCCCAGCAAGCGGGGGAGGGTGAGGCAAAGGCCAGCAACCCTCTGTCTGCCACCTCACCCACCCTCCACCCTCCCGGCAGCACCTCCACCGAGGTAGTTCCCTCCTCCCCTCAGACACGTCCTCTCCCCAGACCAGCACATTCCAGGCCCTTCTTGTTCCCTCCCCAGGCCCATGGCTCTACTCCCCCAGCATCCCCTGGCCTGAAGACCCCCTCCTTGCACCTCCCCTCACCCGGGGCGGGAGAGCGAGGCCAGTGTCCACTCCAAAACCCATCCAGAGATGGGTCCCAATTCTGTCTTCCTAGTTCCAAGGGGAGAGAATTCATGGGCTCTGAGTCACAGCAGATGCTTTCACCTCCCTCTTCCTAAGGATGGTGGGACCCACAAGGGAAACAGGCCAGGGAGGAAGGGCGGTGGGGAGGGCTCAGGGAACCAGGCCCACCGATGCTCCCCAGCCCCTCAGCTGTGCCCAGCCCCCAGCACAGCACTAGGAGGAGAGCCAAGATCGTCCCACAGAAGAGAAAATAGAGCAACCGAGTGTGACTGGACCCAATAAAGTGACTCAGGTGGGCTCGTTCCTGCCCAGCCCCACAGGTGCCACACCAGCCCTGCCCTACCTCCACCCAAAGGCACGGGTCTGGTGCTCCCCGGCTGGGAGCCAAGGGCCTGCTAGTGCCTCGGAGGGAGTGGCCCATATTCCATGTCCAACAGAAGCTCGGGGGAGACTGGCCTAGAACTCGGTCTGCACCCCTGTGCTGTCCTCGGTGGTGGTGTGGATTGGGGGGCGGCCGCCAGGGCTGGACACCTGCTCCCCGGTCTCCTGGTCACTGGGCTTAGGAGGCTCAAGGTCCACAGCCTTTCCAGGTGGGAGCTGCTGAAGGGGTGAGGCGGGCGTGGAGGCGGGTGGCGGGGCGGCCTCAGGAGCTGCCATGGACTGGGGGCTCTCCTGCACAGGGGCCCCATTGGCCAGTGGGGGGCTCTCAGCCCGCAAATCTCGGGCTAGCAGGCCCCGGAGCTCTGTGACACTGTCTGGGGACGCAGGTGACAGTGGCTCAGGGACAGCCTCAAAGGGCAGCCCTGCCTCCTCGTCCTGGACCACAGACACCACCTGCTTGGCACGCCGGCGCTTTTCTGAAAGGGTGGCTGCTTCCGGGACACCCGGGCTGCTGCTGTCTCCACCGCTGTCACCTCCACCACCGTACTCTTCACCCCAGTCGATGGGTGCACCCTCGGCCAGCAGGTGCAGGTTGGGGTCACTGTTGTGCATGACCACGCTGTCTCGGTATAGGTTGTGCTTCCGCTGCACGGCAGCCTCCTTCACAGCTACGGGACAAAGGGTCAGGGTGGTGCAGTGTCAGGACACTTATCAGGGGGCTGACGGCCGCCACCACACCCTACACTGGGCCCCAGTGTGACCCCGCGTCATCCCCCAGAGGCCTCCCACAACCTGGGTGGGCGCTGTGATTGGTACAAGACTTATTTCAGGACTTGATGCTGAGAAGCAGGAGCTGTGACCCTAACCTGTCACTCATCTGATATCCCTGTGATGCCAAAGACCGACAAAGAAACAAAGGCACAAGGAGGCAGTGCTTCCCTCCTGGGGCCACACCGCTAACAGCGGGTCCACCCCAGCCCGCAGCGTAAGTCTCATGTCTTCTCTGTAGCTTAGCTGACCCCACTTCCTCTGGGCGGCCACCTCCATCACCCTCCCGACAACAAGCACCCCAACAGCAGCGGCCGGCGGAGGAAACCCCCGCCCAGCTCTGCAGCTCGCCCTCTGGGTGGCGGGACCAGCACGTACCCTGCAGGATGTCCTTCATGACCGTCTGCAGCACCACCTCCTCATACGTGTTCTCCACCAGGATGAACCTGGCAAAGTCCTCGAAGATCAGCTCCTGGAAGCGGGAAAGCTCCTGCAAGAGAGAAGGGCAGTCACGGCCACGGGGCAGAGGGAGGGTCTGTGGGCTCCACCCCCACGAGCCAGGCCGTGGGTCAGGCCCAGGGCTGGGGCAGGCTGGGGTGAGTAGGGGCAGGGGGTGTGCTCACCGACTTGCAGGTGGGCGCCAGCTTCTTGAGCAGGAACGGGATGGTGATCTGCAGCAGCGCCTCCCGGAAGAAGCGCTTCCGCACCGAGCTGCTGTCATAGTCGTATTTCTGCCAGGAAAGAAGAGCCAGGGCACGGGGGCTCCAGGTCAGTGGGCTCCACCGGCCCCTGTTCTGGCCCAAGCCTTCGCGTCCTCATCTGTCAGGGGGTCGGCCAGGCTCACCTTCAGCACCCGCTCCAGGATGCGCTGGATGGACTTGCACAGCTCCTCCTTGGTGGGCCCCTTCCCCAGCTCCTGGTGCAGGAGGGTCTCAAAGGTGTATACGGCATTGTCCATTTGCTGCGGGGCACAGGACGGGGACATGAGGGCCTCACTCATCACTCACTCCTTTACTGAGTGTCTAGTGCGCTGGCTCAGTGCTGGGCACTGGGGCTGGTCCCTGCCTCAGGGAAATGGGAAGCAGAGGTCCCGGGCCCTGCAGGAAGGGGCTTAGGGAGTAAGGAGGGCTTCCCAGAGGAAGGGGTCTCTGCGACCCAAAAGATGAATCTGAATTAGCCAGGTGAACGGAGGGACAGGTGTCCAAGCAGACCAGAGAGCACAGCCAAGAGACCAGTGCAGGAGAGAGCACGCAGGGGCTGAGCTGGCTGCAGCGAGGCCTGGGAGGAGGGCGGGGCCGGGGAGGAGGCCAAGGGGTCAGGGCCTCTTCCCCAGGAGATGGGGTCTGTGGAAGGCGGTGTTGGGTGCAGGGTGAGCGGGGTGCGGGGTAAGCTGTGGCAGCACCCTGGGCCCACCTCACGCATGTGGATCTGGGCTCGCTGCTTGAACACAGACGTGCTGGACACATCGAAACGTTGCTGCAGACCATCAAGCCGCAGCGGCTCCATCTTCTCATAGCAGCTCTGCATCTTGAGGGGGTGGTACGCCAGCTGGGACAGCTTCTCCATGTACTGCAGGAGGCAGGGATGTGCAGGACGTTAGCTGGGGCTGCTGGAATGGCCAGGTGGCCCCCATGGCCCCCGCATCCCCCGGGCCCTCAGAGTCCAGGCGTGGCCCCAGGGAAGGCCATCTGGGGTGGTACCCACAAGGGCAAATGCTGGAGGACCTGGGACAGGAAGGATGACGGTCTGAAGGCAGGCGGGAGGGGGTCCAGCTGCACAGCACGTGGAGAGAGGCCAGCCTGGGTGCTGGGTGACCTTGGGGAAGTCGCTCACCCACTCTGAGTTTCAATTTCCTCAGCCTCCAACTCAGGAGCTGGTTTTTCATCATCTCTCAGGTTGTTTCTTATTCTCAAATTCTGTGATGATTATTTTCAGCAGACTCCTCAGTTTGAGGTGTAGAAGAGGAGGCTAAGGTTACAGGACCAATTCTATCTGCACGTGCGGCTTCAGGCAGCCGACTACCCCAATATGGGGTCTGGGGAAGGTGACTGAGAAGTTAGGGGGCTGACTCCATTTGTAGGGTGCATGAAACGGCATCTCTGTACCTGCTCGCCCCTTGGTATCCCACAGATCCTCTATCCATAGGCTACTCCTGGAGGGGAGAGGCCCGCCCCGATCACCAGGAGGGCCTGACAGGGACCAATAGGACTGAAACCCAGGAGGCGCGCCCACCCCGGGGCCGGCGCCCGGTCACCTCGCCCAGCTTGTCGATGCCGCCCTCGTTGATGACGTTCAGGTTCATGTCGGTGACCTCCTTGAAGAAGACGTCCCGCACCTCGGTGAAGCCCTGGCTGGTGGGCACCATCAGGGCCTCCAGGATGGACGGGATGTAGGGCTGCACGTGGTTCCGGACACACACCTCCGCCTTGGGGAGGATGGAGGCTGCACCCAAGGGAGCTGGTTAGCAGACAGCACCCCTGGGAGCAACCCCAGCCATCCCAGACCTCTGCGGCTAGACGCAGGCTGTCTGTTATTCTTTAAAGAAAACCCCTGGTGACTTTGGCAGACAGAAAGATTCCAGAGGAACAGTTGTTAATGCAGCACAAATAACAGGGTATTCTGAGATCCGACCCCGATATTCCTGAAACGGTGGTGGCAGGAAGCTAAAAAACTGCTAAAGGGCTGAAGGTTGACAGTTTTCCTTCTTCACTAGAGGAAGAGAAAAACTCACGTTTGGGAGTCTTGCTTCTTTATTTAAAAAAAAAAGGAAAAACACAAGAGTGGGTTCAAGGAGCCTCTGGGTTGTACAAGCCCTGAGCTGGATCGTGCTCTGGCATGGTGTGGCCTGGCTCGGTAACTGTGTAGAAGGCTGCTTCTCTGAGGGCAGGAACTGTCTCTGAGACATCCTGACCAAGGCGCTTCTACCCAGGGGGTGTTTTGATGTCCCTCCCTCCCCTCTGCCCCGCTGATGTTGTTTTTTCCACACAATAAATATCAACTCACGGTGTCCTACCCAGCTCACAGGGAGGACAGCCAGCAGAGGATAACCCTCGGACAACTGACAACTACAGCTGTGGCCAGCATGTGAGGGAGACACACGCACGAGGGGATCCCATCTGGCTCGGAACAGAAAGGAGCGTCAGCTAAGCCAGAGAAGTCAGGCCTGCCAAAAGGGAGTCACCACACAGTCGAGCTGATGCCACTAAAATGACACGTGGTAAATCTGAAGGACACAGACGAGCAGAAGGCTTGAACCTCCCTGACATCATTTTGATCGTGAAGATCTGGGTTTACAGAAATAACAGCCACCAAACAACCCACAGGGGTTGGAAGAACAATGGCTCAGATTTTATTTCAGTTCTTAAAAAATAACAAATCAGATCATTGCTGTGAAACGTGCACAGATCCCTGAAAGAGGCAGGAGAGCCCGCGGTCCCGGCGCGTCACCCGGTGAGGACAAGCGCAGCCACGTGTCCTGCCTACCTCGGATCTTGCTGGCCAGGTGCTCCTTGGAGGTGATGATCTGGTCCATGTCGGTGCGGATGACCGCCTCCATGGCCGGCCGGGCCAGCTGCAGCTTGGACAGCACCGCGTCAAAGCGCGCCTTGGCCTGCTCGTACACCATGCGGTACACGGCGTCTGAGATCTGCGGGCAGTGCGGTGGCAGTGTGAGCGCCAGGCTAAGGGTGCCTGGCAGCTGCAGGCCCTGCAGCCCTGCTCCCGAGCCCAGGCTTGCCCACCTGGATCCACTGCCGCTGTCGCTCCTGCGGTTTCCCCTTCAGCCGTGGGGCCAGCTCCGCCTTCAGCTCTGGGCCCAGCTCCTCCATCACCAGGTTGCTCAGGATCTAGGACCAGGAGGCAGAGGTGGGGGCAAGGATTGGAGCCTGTGCAGCCGATGTGCTCCTCTCCCCGTTTCTCTGGGCTTGGCCCTTTGTGCCACATCTCCGCTGCCCTCTTTCCTGAGTATCATTCCCACAGGTCCCAGCTTATCTGCTTGAGTGTCCTAAAGGGGCCCCACCTCAGGACCTTTGCACATGCTGCCTCCCAGTCTGGAATACCACACTCCACACCACTTGCCTACATATGGAACTGTATGCGTTTACTTGTTAAATGTCTGTTCCTCCTGCTAGACAGAGAGCTCCCTGCGGGCCAGGGCTGCCTCCCTCTTACACACAGTGGCATCCCACCACCTAGTCCAGGGTAGATGCTCAGTTAATGACTGAACAAAACAAGTAGCTCCACCTTTGTGACCCACCTCAGCCTCCACCCATCCAAATCTGAGCTGAATCTCGGTCCAAACCTGCAGTGAGTGCCCCAGAGCCCCATCTGTGTGCTTGGCCCTAACTTCTGGGGAACTGGGGTGACTTCCATATAGCCTCCCACTGGCCTCCCTGGCCTCACCTGCACCTCGTTCCCACACAGCATCTCCCAGGTGCCATACAGCTCCTTTGACTGGCGGTACATGCGGATGGCATCCGTGAATGCAGGGCCCTCCACCTTGGAGTCCTCAGGGATCCCTGTCCAGGAGAGGGAGGGAGGAGGTCAGCAGGATGGAACGGTGGCCTCCACCATGACCAACTGACTGACTGCCCTGACTCCCCCTACCGCTCTTGTAGTAATGGTGGGAGGAGGAGCTGCAAGAACAAGTAACAGCAATAATAACCCCCTACCAACAGCAGCAAGACGGACCTTCATACCCTACTTATCGCCTTAAATCCTTAAATCCTCCCAACCGCCCCAAGACGTGGGCACCGCTTTACAGATGGAGAAACAGACCGGCTCCAAGGTCAGGCCACTACTGAGGGTTCAAGGGCAGCAAGTGGCAGAGCCACGACCAGAAGCCATACCACCTCCCGGGAGGGGCCACCAGAGGCACCCAGAGACCCTCCCTCCATCAGAGGCTGCAAACTTTCCCTGCAGAGGACCAGTCAGTAAACGTTCTCAGTTTGCGGCCAGGCAATCTCTGTCCCAACTACTCAGTCTGCATTTGCTATAGCAGGAAAGCAGCCACAGACCGTGAGTGAATGAGCGAGCAGATAAAACTGGGTTTAGTGCAACAGGTGATGGGCCCCACTTGGCCGAGCCTTGTCCAGATCACTGAACCCTAGAAGGTCTCAGTTCTCCCTTCTGAGCAGTGGGAATACTGACCAGCCAGGCTGCGCACACCCACTGCGGGGCTCCAGGACCACAGTGTGGGGACAGGCCATGGACTGGGGAGGCTGGGCCCAGCACTTTGTTAGTAACCACAGCGACGGCCGCCCTGGGTCTGCCCTGCTCGCCGCCATGCGTCCACCTCCGACTTGAAAATACCATTTCCCTGCTTCTGCTATCAGTGGTGGCGGTGGTGGTCCAGATGAGTTTGCCCACCTCCCCGGTGCTGGCGAGGGGGAGGCCGGCCCAGGAAGAGGCAGAACCCGGCTTCGGGAAGGACGTGGTTAAACACCCGGCAGCCCAACAGCGGGCAGCTGCCCTGGCCACGCGCCTCTGACCGCCGTGTCCCCAGAGCCAAGCAAAGGGAAGCAGCAGCCTGTGCTCCGAAACCCAGGCTCCCGCCGTGGTGATGACGGCCTGAGTCACCCCCACAGAGAAAAAGCCCCTCTCTGGCATAGGGAGGACCCCTCCCCTCCACATCCGGCCGATTCCCCCACAGGAATCCCAGCCTGCTGGGACTGGAAGGGAGCTCAGTGGTGGGGAAACTGAGGCCCAGCCCCCATCCTTGTAGTGGCAGCTCCCTGGACTGGGAAAGGGAGGGGCGTGAGGGGGACCTGTGATGAGGAGGGAGTGACAGGGGCAGAGCTGGGGTGCTGGGCAGAGCCCCTGGGGTGGGTGCCACATAGATGGCCAGGGGAGGAACCCTTCAGGCTCTCAGGACGGGCACCGTCTCCCGGAGACCAGGTTTTGCCTGGAAAATCCGGGCTGTGCATTACACGCAACCTCTCCACGTTAGGGCATTGACATTCTGCAGACAGCAAGCCCCGGCGTGCTGTGCAGGGGCTGCCTTCCAGGCAGCAGGAAGGCGGCCACCAGGGTTCCAGGCTCTGCCTGGTCAGACCCTTAGGAGGTCTTTACTCTGCACACTGAGTGGCTGAGTCTTACAAAAGTCACCCCTCCTGAGCTCTTCCCCTGAGCCTGGCTGCCAGGGGCTGAGTCTATCCCTCCAGGTTCCCATGTTGAAGTCCTAATCACCACCCCCCACCCCATACCTCAGTATGTGACTGTATCTGGAGACAGGGACTTAAGAGGTAATTAAGTTAAAACGAGGTGATTAGGCTGGGCCCTAATCCAGTGTGACTGGTGTCCTTGTGAGAAGAAGATGTTTGGACAAAGAGAAAGCACCCACAGAGGGAGGTGTGTGTGAAGACACAGAGAGAAGGCAGCTGTCTGCTAGTCAAGGAGAGAGACTGCAGAAGAAAACAGACCTGCTGACACCTTTATCTTGGACTGGAAGCCTCCAGGATTCCAGAAAAATTCATTTCTGTCATTTAAGCCCCCAGTGTGTGGCCCTTTGTTACGGCAGCCCCAGCAGATGGAGACACCGGCCCTGGGCTGAGACCTCACACGTGCTCCCTCATCCAACCCTCAGAACGGCTCTGTGAGGGACAGCCGTTCTCAGTCCCACTTGTCTGATGAGGACATGGGCTCAGAGAGGCAAAGTTATTGGCTCAAGGACACAAGGCGAGGGAATGGCAGCCCCAGGGCTGGAACTCAGGAGCTGACTCTAGCCAGACCTAGAGACTTCCTGCCTGTGGGGTCCTCAGGGTCCGGCTGAGAAAGGAAACCGCATTCCTCAATCCTGGGCAGCAGGCAGAGGGGGCCTTGGTCAGACAGGAAGAGGCCCTGACCTCTGCACCCCAGGCCCACCCTGAGGGCTCAGCTCGGTGTCCCAGCTGCCTCTTGCCACCCCCAGCTGCTCCAGGAATGCAGGATGTGGGGGGGGGGGCACTGGATGAACTGGCATCCACCCAGCTTGGCCTCCTTCCCCCACCTCCCCCCTACTTCCTGGCAGCCCCCGGAGTGAGTAATTCCAGGCCCCACAAATTCCAGGCCCAGCCTCCGAGGAAGCAGAGAACTTTCCCACAGTCCTCCCACAGTCCTCAGGGTGGAGGAAAGGCTCCTCTGAAACCTCCCTGTCAGCTCTGAACACCTTCCTGCCGCGGGACACCTGCTCCCCCCACCCTAGCAGTGCTCCTGGCCTCCTGTCCTGCCCACAGCACCCACACCCACACCCACACCCCTCGGCCTCCCAGCTGGGCGCTCCCTCTGTGCCAGGCACAGGGCCAAGAGCTCTACCCGAACCAGCTCATTTATTCCTCCCAATAATCCCACAGGGCTTGAGTTCATCACGATCACCATTGTGCACATGGGGAGCCGAATGATGGCTTTCCCCCACCTGTTCTGTCCCCACCTCACCTGGCCTGGGGTCACCCACTAGGCTTGGAAACCTGGAGAGAGTGGAGCTGGGCCAGGGATGGGGGAGGGGAGGAAGGAGGAAAGAAGTGGGGTAGAGGAGGAGGAGCAGGAGGAGGAGGAGGGAGGGTGCCCTGGGCCAGGCAACCACAGCCCAGATTGCCTCCACCCAGTCCTGGCCCCTCAGCCCCAGGGGACCTGGGAACAGGAGGCCCTTTGTGGGTGGCAGGGGTTGGCCTGACTAAAGACCTGGTTCCTCCCTCCTGGAATCTGCCACAGGCAGCTCTGGGGAGTGGAGAGGACAGGTGGGGTGAGCGAGTCAGGGCAGCCAGGCCTCCAGGCGTGCATGCCCACACTGTCCATCCACCACCACGTGGAGCTGTGCCCGAGGTGTGCCAGGCGGGGAGGCAGGGGCCGTCACCTTCCTCTGCTGTCCTCAGGCCAGGTCACCAGGAAGGAAATTCAGGGTCCAGGACAGGATCATTCCTTCCCCAAGGATAGAAAGACCCTCAGTGCTACACCCCGCCCCACCCCTCACTGAGACAATCACAGGCTTTTTGATTAAACTCCTTAGGGCCCTACAAGGCCCTCCTAACCTGACCTCAGTGCCCCCTCCAGCCCATTTCCGGCCATCTCCTCCCCACTTCAGGGCCTTGTGCACTTCCTCCCCTAAACTGCTCCCACCTCTGGCCCTCCCTTCACCCTTGCTGCAAACTGTCTAGGACACACCTCCCTCCACTCTAGAACTATTCATCCTTCAGGTCTCAGCTAAACCATCACCTCCTCCAGGGAGCCGCCCTGATCAACACCCCCCCGCAATACATACACACCCTCCAGGCTCCCTGGGTGGATCTCACCCAGCACCCAGCACAGCCATGACTCATCACCCTCCCCATCATGTCTTCATCTGTTTAACATCTGTCTCCCCCACCAGACTGCCAGCAGCATGAGGGAGGGGCAGGGACCATGTCTTGCTCCCTGGCTGCATCCTCGGTGTCCAGACCTAGGCCTGGCTCAGAGGAGATATTAAAATGTTTGTTGAAAGAATGAGTGGCTGGAAGAGACCCATAACTTTACAGAGAACAATGAGGCCCTGAGGGAGGAAGGGAACTTCCCAGACTACTGTACAGGTTGGTGGTAAAGGAATGATACCATAAAAAAACCCTTTACCAAGCATGGAGTGGATTCTCACTGTGCAGCCTCACAAACCCTCTCAGACACAGGGGAGACTATTAACCCTATTTTACAGAGGCTCCAAGAGGTAAGCTGGACTCCTAAGGTCATGTTGCTGGAAAGTGGCAGAATTAGGATTTTTATTCTGTGACCCAAGGGCTCAACAACCACATCCCTCTGAGAACAATTTCCCAAATTTTTCCTGAGCCTCACAGAACTGTTTGCATCAAGCAAGAAGGTTCAGGGCAGTATCACAATGGTTTCTAACAACCCCAGAGGGAAAATTAGAACAGCTCATAGAGCAGGGTTGCCACACCATACTCGGCCACTAGGTGTCACCATCCAGCACATAACCCAGGCAGCCCGCTCCCTCCCTCAAGGCGGCTCACCGTTGTTGCAGTGCCGGACGCAGTCCTGCAGGACAGCTTGCCACTTGTCCTGCTCGGCTTCCGTCATCATGCAGAAGTAGTAGTGACGCGCAGAAGGATGCCAGAGGATGAGCGGGAACTGCGTGGGGCACTTGAGGATGGGGGTGGTGCCCGATTTTGATGTGGTCCCTGTGGAAACAGTGCCCGCTGAGCAGCTGCCCTCTGTGACTTCCCTCGGCCAGAGGCCAACCAGCAGCTGATCCCTCGCTCCGCTCTGAGAGGCAGGTTTAGGCCCAGAGAGGGCTGGCCTGTCCTGGGGTGACCAGCAAGTCAGTGGGGAGGTGGCTTCCCTCCTTCTGGCTCCACAGCCTGGTTAAAGGAACCTCAGACGCCTCCAGTACCTGTTCAGACCCATTTCTTAGAGCTGGTAATGCATCCACCTCCCTGGGGTAAGGTTATAAACTCCATGTGTGAGGCACAAATAATACAGGGTCAGAGCCCCAGGGTCAAAGGCTGAGCATTACCTCCCTGGGTTTCCCTTCAAATTTCAGCTGTGGAGGCCAAAGTGTGGCTTAAATATCCAAGGCGGGAGGGAGGCATAGGGGTGGGGAATAGAAAATAAATAAAAGGGGATTTTTCTCTATTTTGTCTGCATGGATATTTGAGATTCAGTGAGATAGGTGGTCCTGGGCTGTGACCTCGCCACTGTTGTTAATAACAGGACAATGGCAGTTCTTTGTGCCCTGTCTCTGGGTCTCTGTGCTGGGCTCAGCGTGCACAGCACCTTGGGAGGCGGGTCTACACAACACCCCAAGGTCAGCACTCTCAGTGCAGGGGTTGGAATCCAGGAAAGCCAGACTCCTGTCGAGCCCGCAACCACCAAGTCCCACACAGGGGTACAAGCTGCCCCCAGGCTGGCATCTCCCCTACACTTTGGTCTCCCTGGGATCATCTGAGAGACAGGATCTGTTCCTGCAAGGCTCCTGGGAGTCCCTAAGCAGGTGGGGTAGAAACAGGGTGCCTAGCACAGCTCCTTGCAAATGCAGTATTGACTTTTTGCAGTTTACAAAGCACCTGGATCATCTTCTCCCAGGAGCCTCTCAGGGACTCAGAGAAGGGAAGGATAGGGAGTGAATTCCCCTGCACAGCTGTGATCGTTAGGCTCAGGGAGCGGGGGCTCAGGTGGGGCCCACACTGCTGCAGCCCCAATTCGCCGTGTAGCCTCAGGCAGGCCCCTCCCAGGCCTCCCCTTGGGGGGCTCAGGTTATGTTGGGCACCTGCCGCCAGCTCGAAGCCCAGCTGGCCTTTCTGCGAACGTGCATTCCAGAGTTCTAGGTTCAGGGTCACCCTCTCCCCTGGCCAAAACCCCTGGTCCTTTACCTGGTAAGGAATTGCTAACGAGCTCCAGGTACTGGTCCACGGAAGTGAGGATTTTGTAGCCTGCACTGTTGATGACAGCTCGGGGTGGGACCTGCCGCTCATAAGCCTGTGGAGGGGGCAAGAGAAATGGTCCCTGGGGATTACAGGTCTGGCCAAGCCCAAACCCCATCTCAGTGTTGCCTGCCCAAGGTGGGGAGGGGGAGGGGAAGGAGGAAGATGAGAGGGAGGGAAGAGGAAGAGGAGTCTGACCATCACAGAGACTAGAGGCAACATGGTGCAGTGACCTGGACCCAGGCTCTGGGCTCAGATCCTGGCTCCACTGAGCACTATCTGTGTGATGTTGAGGATAAGGTTCCTTCACCTCCTGTGCTTTAGTTTTCTCATATATAAAAGCAGGGGAATAGCCATTCCTACCTGACAGGACTGCATGAGGACCAAGTGAGATAATCCACAGGAAACGTGTAGCACCGTGCCTCGCACAGCCAGGCAGTAAGCACGGCTAAGATGATCGCTGTGTTATCACCACTGCCAATCCACTGCCTCTCCCATCGGCAGCTACCACTAGCTGAGTGTTCACTACCCACAGGCCCCGCGTGCTTCATTTCACAGAATTCTCACAATCCAGAGGTGGGTACCATGATTAGCCTGGCCTGTCAGCCTCTAGAATCCAGGGTCTCTGACTATTACCCTGAACTTTCCACCAGCTTCCTAGGTTCTGAGCCCCACACAAGTCCCCCTGGGAAGAGAATTAGGTCTGGGCACTGCTTTCTTACACCCGTAGGGAGAAAAAATAGTACCGATGTCCTAGCTCATAGAGCAGGGCTGCAGTGCCTCACCCTGCCACTAGGTGTCACTACTCAACACACTTCTTGAGAGTGGCTGGAACCTCTGAAGCAATAACTTTCAAAGTGTGGTCCCTGATCCGCAGCAGCAACAGCGCTGCGATCTCGTTAGAAATGCATTTTCTGGCTCCACTCCAGACCCAAGTCAAACTCGGGGTGGGCTCAGGAACCTGTTTTTTAAGAAGCCCTCCAGGTGATTCTGATCAGGCTATCATTTTGAGAACCGCTGGCCTGGGGCATCAGGTTGCTCTGGACTCTGTTACCCTTAACACTGATTTGCCTCAAAACAGATGGCACTTAAGTCTGTTCTTTGGCTGCTCTAGAGAAATGTTTGGTAGAAGTTGGGCTGTGGCTCAACCAGATAGGGTTTCCCCAAGGGCCCAAAGCAAAGACAAGGAACAAGTAAGGACACTTCTCCACCCGCTGCAGGGCAGGGAGTTCGGGGGCGGGGGTTGGGGAGGGGGCTTCATCAGGAAGGAAAAAGAAAGGACCACCACCTGGGGGTCATCTGGGGCAGGGGATGGCCGGTTTGCTGTGGCTGTTGAAGAGCAAGGATGGGAGTGGGCTGGGGAGCAGCAGGAAGCCCGGGCAGGAAGGCGGCTGAGGGAGAGGAGGGCCCTGGAAATGGAGAGATCTGGACGGACTTGGGGGTGGGGAGGAGCCAGTGATGAGCTGGTTATGGGGGGAGAGGCAGAGTGACCCCCAGAGAGCTAGGTGCCTGGATGGATGAAATGCCGCTCAGACAGGGCACCCAGCAGAGCAAGGGTGGGGAGGTGGGAAGGGGTGGGAGAGGGTGCTGAGGTTCTGTTGTGGCCCTGGCGACAGCCGAGGGGGATGCCGGGGGCAGGCTGAGGGTGGAGGAATGGAGTCTCAGGCTTAGGAGTCGGCGGGGTGCGAGGTGGGGCAAGCAGTATTAAGCAGCATAGAGGACAGCTGGCGGGGGAGCTGCAGAGACAGGGAAGAAGCAGCCTGACCAGGCCTGGGAGGAGATGGGGGCTCAGCGGGCACCCACAGCTGGGACGGGGCGGGGGCCTCACCACTTTGTTCTCATAGAGCACCAGCCCGTAGTTGTGGGGCACGAGGCTGAAGCGGTTCCTCCACTTCTTGTTGTCCTCCTGGTACTGGAAGAGGTTCCCCGAGAAGATGATGCGCTCATCCAGGGGCACCTATGGGAGGGAAGGGGTGGAGAATGAGGCCCAGCATGGGAATGGGGTCCTCCAAGGTGACGCCTGTAGGCTCACCCCCTGCTGCGCACACCCTCCATCCTGACCTGGCCAAGTTCTCAGAAGGCCACTGAGGCAGGGCTGTCTCACTCATTTGGAAGATGAAGAAAGTAAGGCTCAGGACAGTGAAGGGGCTCCCCCAGGGCCCAGGCAGAGCACTGGTGATGACAGGACCTGAACCCAGGCCAGGCAACATGATACAGGACCCAGACAGGATCCCACTCCGTGTGGCTCTAGGCAGCCACGACACCTTGGGACAGGTCTCTGGAGTCCAAGGCAGGCTGTTTCTCCATCCACACCCACTGCAGCATGTGGGTGAGGTGGTCACGCCAGCCAGAGGGGACATGCCCACCGGCCAGGACTGGGAAGGCCCCAGCACCTGGGCAAGTCTTTCTTCAGCGCTGGGCTTGTTTCTCACTCAGGGCAACAAAAACTTGATCAAGGTGGCTCCACAGAGCCTCCCCAGCTCCACCAGCTGACAAGATGGTCTTCATGAATCTGGGTGGGGGAGGAGAGGACCCTAGTCTGGAGTGTTGCTGTCTGGCCAGGATCCTGGCAGACTAGTGGCCAACACGGGCAGCAGAAACACCCAGACCTTCCTGCAAAGCCCTGGCTTTGACTCTACTGCTGACTCAGTGTGACTTAAGTCCTGTCATGGCACCTCTTTGAGCCTCAGTTTCCTCAACTGTAAAATGGGGACAGTGACAGCACTGACCTCACCGAGCTCTCTCGAGGATTCCATCAGATGACAGGTGCAAAGATGCCGCAGGCAGTGGGCACCTGGCAGGCAGCACAGTATGCGGGAGTCACCTTGACCACTACTGGGGTCACTGTCGTGTCAGTCTCCCAGCTCCTCTGGATGACTTATTTGGGGAGGGGGAGGGGGTGGCCATCCCTAAGAGAGTGCTTCCTGAGCAGACCAACACCGGGAAGCTTCAGGAAAGGAGATATGGAGGCCACAGGGGAGCAGGCTTACTCCTGGATGGGAGGAGCTCGGAGAGTTGAGTGCCCTGTTCCTCTGCAACTTCTATCTGTTCTACAACAAATACGGTGCCTTTTGCAAAAAGAAAGATAGACCACATGTAATCAAGGGAGAAAGTATGATTTTAATGGCGCCTGACCCTTCCTAACTTCGTGGCTCTGCTTCTGGCTCCGCCCAGGCCACTGGAGTCAGGTGTGAGTGGCCCCTCCAGAGATGCACCCCCCCTCCCCAGCCCCAATCTTCACAGGCAGCCTCCTCTCCCCAGCAACCTCCCTGCCACTCTTCAAGGGGAAATGCCAAAACATTCTTGGAAAATGAGGGCCTATTGTCCTTAAACAATAGAACCCCGCAGACTGCTTCCTACCCAGGGATAAAAATATTTACAGGAAAAGAAAATGGCTCCCCCTACCATACACAACCCCCCACCCCACGGCCCCAGCCATCCCCCACCACACACACACACACACACACAGTGGGCTTTGCCCAAGTCACAAAGCTGGGCTCAGCGGTCTATATTTAGACTGGGGCCCGACTCTCAGCCCAGCTCTTGAATCCCCATCTCTTCTGGAAAGAGCGAGCAGACAGAGCTGTCCTGACACCCGGGTCAGACCTCTGCTCCCCCCAGGGCTCTGGGCTGTGTCCGCCCCTCTGCTTAGAGCAGGAGCCCAGGACTTGGGTGCTGGGGGGCTTTGCTGATGGCATGAGCTCAGCACCCAGGCAGGCTTCCCAGGTGAGAGGGGCTCAGCACCCGCCGCCCAAGTCCACCTCCAGATCCTAGGACAGCCCGTACTGGGTGGCTGGTTGTGGGTTTGGGTTTTATTTTTAAGATTTTCAAATGGCAGAGTCATGTTTCCATTGGAAGGCCTGCAGGAAACGAAAGAGAACCCAAGCAGCCTAGGCCAAATATTTTGGACTCTGTGAAGCTCTCTGATGCCATGACGGGCATCTTCGGTGGATGGTGAATGGGGAGAGCACAGACCGCGGGGCTCGGACAGCCTGACTTCCAGTCCCAGCTCCACCGCCCCTGGCGTGGGAGCCCAGACCAGCGACTCCACCTTGCCAAGCCTTAGCGTCCACATCTGTCACATGGACAAAATCACAGTCCCTTAGAGCAGTGTCGTGCCAGCTGGACAAACAGTGTCCACACAAAAGAAGTGCTGGTTTTATTATCACTTCTGTTTTTATTATTACTATTACTATATTAATTGTACCATTAATATTTCTAATAGAAACGATTGATGTGATGATGATGACAAATAGTATTATTATTTCTATTATTATATTATTATCATGACTTAACCTCATGGTGGCCAGTTTCCTGAGTGGCAAAATGGGACCAGAAATCCTTGCTTTTCAGGGACGGGGAGTGATTTCATCTCACACGTCTTGCTTACATGTTACTTCTCTTTTCCTACCATGAATACTCCCCCTGTGAGTGTTAAAGGCATTTCTCATGTAGAAGAGATGCTTATTGCTGTCAGGCGACCCCACTTCTGTCTTGGGTTATTGGGACCCAGGCTGCCTGTGACATTGCTTTCCAAATAGGGGAACAATTCCAGCTCTGCCCACACGAAGCAGCTCACCTAGGCTGGGTCCAGGGCCATCTTTCGTATCACACAGGTATGCACCTGCCAGACACCCAGGCCAGGCCACATCTGCCCTCTATTGTCACGAGGTCTGAGGTCAAGAGGTTTCTATGACACCAGGAGATTGTACAGTCTCTTCTGGGCCCCAAATCAAAGGGGCATGTGATGCTCTGAGAGGCCCTGACCTCCCCTCCATTGGGGGTCGAAGAGGAAAGAGCCCTTGGCTAGGAATCTGGAAACTGGCTCAAGTCCTGCCTCCAGTATCCTGGGAAAGTCGTTTAAAGGCTTAGCTCTGGGCCTTTGCACATGTCATTGCCTTGGTTTCATATTCCTTCTCCCATCAGGTTTTCAGCTGAAATGGCCCTTTTCCCAGGAAGCCCCCTTGGGCTACCCAGTCAAGTCAGGCCCCACTGTCAGAGTTCACTCTGTTGTCTCCTTTGTAGCACCCACTTCATTGTGCAAAAGGCTGTTTACTGTCTGTCTCCCGAGTGTCTGGGGGCAGCAAGGACAACGTGGCCTCAGCACCTGACCTGACGCAGACTAGGGGCCTGCCTGTTGCTCTCCCTGGGAAATCCCTGAGTCTCAGCAGCAGCTCCTCCAGCCCCCGACCTGATGCCTCCAGCTGTTCCTCCTGCTGCGAAGACACTGGAGGGTAACAGATCCTCAAAGCCAGGTCAAGGGACGCCAGCCTCTGTGAGGCCCTTCAGTCTCATGATAAACAGGCACATTTTCAATCACGTGATTTTGGGGGAGGAACGAAAGGACTTCCAGGGCAGGGCCTTTGCGGGCTCTTTCCACTCTGCCCCTTCCTGTCGCCCCCCCCCCCGCAAACCCCCTACACCCTCACCCCTGCCCACACTGTCCCCCTTCCCGAGAGGCCTTCCCAATAAGCCAAATCCCACCCAACCTTCACAGGCCCTACCCCCACCCCCACAACGCTGCTCTGATTCCTCTGGCCCACGATGGCTTCTCTCTGAATGCTGGCTCGCAGACGAAGAAACTGAGGCTCAGCAAGGTGAAGCCACATGTCTGAGGTTACCTGGCAAGTCAGGACTCACACCCCCTTAGTAATCCCACCTGCTCCCCCTTCCTGCATGCCATTTACTCTCACTGAACCATCAGCCCTGGGCAGGAGGTATCCATTTGGCAGATGAGGAGACAGCATTGAAGGTTACCAGAGGATTTGAATCCAGGGCCCCCTGAGCTCCTCCCCTCCAGACCATGGGGTTCTAGCCTCCATTCCTCAGCTAAGGCACCACCCCAGCACCTTGAAGCCGGAGCACAGGATGACCGGGCAGCCCAGAGGAAGACAAAAGGACTGTGGGGAGGTGTGGCAAGGTGTGTCAGGGCAACTTCACAGATCACCAACCATGGTAGTCAGCCACGGATGACCTGAGAGTCAGCCACTGGGATTGCCTGGCTGACCTGGATCAGAACTCACTTCCAGAGGGACCAGCTCAGCCAGCCAGTCTGATCCCCAGAGAGAAGCTGTTGGGTGCTCTGTCCAGGAGCCCCCAGCCAGGAGTAAGTAACCTCTGGGCTGCCACTTGGCCACCCAGGCCAGGCCACCTGCAGAGGAGAGGGGCTGGTACCTTTCCTCCTCATCACCCACCTCCCACCACCTGCCCAGCCATCCAGGGGTCACAGGGTGAAGGTCACTGCAAGGGAATGACCCAGC